TTAGAGCTAGAGAGAAATGTAAGTGAAGGTAATGATTTTTTATTAACAATCTCCCTATCATCCCAAAATGCTCTCAATCTAAACATATGAGTAAACCTGCATAAACAAGATGCGACAATATTCTCGTAGTAGCTCATGTAGATTCTCAGAGCATAAAAAATAAAATGAACGGAATAGAAGTCCTCTTCGATGATCAAAACATAGATATACTCTGTATATCTGAACACTGGGTTCCAAGTTCTGATATGGCTCAACTATCATTTCCCAACATACAGGTGGCTTCGTATTTTGCTCGACAAGTTCCATATGGAGGGATTCTTATTTTAACTCGTGAACAGGTAATATGCAGGTCAATAAAATATATTGAAAATATCTCGATACAGTCGCATGTTGAAATAAATGCAGTCACTTTAGTGGATAGTTTTGAATATAAAACAGCTACCTGTTGCATTTATAGACCTCCTTTGAGTGATTTTGATATATTCATCGAAAAATTGGAGCAGACTTTTATTTACTTGTAGGGAAATTTTAATTATTTCATTTTGGTGAAAAAAGGGCATTTTTTTCATTGGAATAAAAGTTTGAGAAACGTTGCCATTAGTGGATATTTTGAATACAATTTAGATTATTTCCTTGGTTGTAACCCAACAGATGGAAGAAAGTTCTGGTAGGAGTTTTGAGGTATTTGTTTAAAAAACATTATCGTGTATCATCCTGCGATAAAAGTATATTTTTGAGTAGAAATCGCCAGGTTTAAGGTATATCGTTGTTGTGTGAGTGCATAGTTTGGGTAATAATATGAATTCGAATTATGCGGAGGATATAGAGAGCTGAACATTCTTGGTGGTTACAATCTTTAGACACCTTACTCCTATTTCATCAGATGGATTGGCTACTTTCCCAATTCATGGGGATTCTGAATCGTCCTTCAGCCAGCCATGTGGTTTTAATTTTACTTTTTCAAACCTACAGATAAGGCCTCGTAAGATTAACCGGTCATTTTAAAGTGTTCATTTCAACCGTAGAAGTATTTGCACAGAAAAAAACCCTATCAGCCAGGGTATGTTACATTTACATACTTTCGAATGATTTTGTAACGAATATTTCTTCATCAAAAATAGTTATTGCATTCAACAGTCTCAACTGAGGGAAATCCATCTGTTGTAGATTGTATCGTTTTTTTTTGTTCAGAGTATAACACGAACTATTTTATGAAACTTCCTGTATACATGTCATATTCGATCACGATCAATTCATTTCATACTGTCCTAGTGATGCTCTTTACTGATAGGTGCCAACAATGAATTCGAACCTAATATTTATCATTTATAATGTTGTCTGTACCTAGAACATTCCAAGATCTACCTGTCTCTATTAGATAGCACACGACTTCACTCTTCCAAATCTCAAACTCCATTCCTGTCCTCTAAAAATATTTTTGAATATTGTGGATAGTTACCAAGGTGATGTGATATGATTAGCGGCTTTGCCTCTCTCTGCCTCAGCAAATTGCGTTTATGCATTATTTCTTAATTAGATTTTTTATGCTGTATGGCTATTGCTTTTTCATCACTTTGTAGATCATTTAATAGTAGGTTTTATACCTATTTGGAATAGAAACCTTCCTTTACTGGGGTAAGTTTTTTTAGTCCATAGTTTTTTTTATAATTTCATNCACGTCGAACCGACCGGCTACCGACCCACCAAAGCACTGCCGAAATAGCTCAAAATTAACGAAGCATTAGAGAATTTTGTACTCTATACATTGATGCTGTCCATTTTTTCCAAATTTAAATTTTTTGCGTCGTCATTGAGCAATTTTCGGATAAATTTTCTCTACAAATTCAAATTTAACCAAAGCGCTGCCAAAACAGCTCAAAATTAATGAAGCATTTGGCAATGATTATGTTATTAAACGCACTCGTTCGACGTTGGTTTGCCAAATTTCCTTACAGAAATTTTAGCTTAGAAGATAACCCTCGAAGTGGCCGACCTATAGTAATCCATGACGAGAATTTGAGGATCATGGTGAACTGAACCATGACAAACGGTGCGTGGGAACGGGCGTCATGATCTAAAACGTGTAGGGAAGGTCAAAAAGTGGGTGTTCTACGATTTGAACGATCGACAAATATTTTTACGTTTCGAAGTCTGTTTTTCTATGCTCTTGCGCAATCAAAACGATCCTTCTTTTGAATCATGTGATAAAAAGTGGTTCCTCTACGACAACAGGAGACGTTCAGGACAGTGGCTGAACATATCCACCACATCCACTTACATCTGATCATCCATACTCTCTAACTCATAATCTGTGAACTCGATTCAATTAGTATCAATAGATCTACAGGAGAAAAACCGTGTTGATGTACTATTATTTTATTTTGTCCATGATCTAAAATAATTCTATGCATAATTTTTTCAAACAATTTTCTGGTAATGCATAGTTTGCTGATAGGTCTATAATTCTAAACGTTACGCTTATCACCACCTTTGAGGAGTGGCATGACGATACAATATTTCCACTAGGAAATCTTCCTGTCTGTAGGGATAAATTATAGATGTAAAAAAGGGGTGGTATCACGTTCTCTTTACATTTTTTTATAAATATCCCTGGTATGTCATCCGGATCAGGACACTTCCTTATGTTTATATCATTAATTGCTTCAGAAATTTGCTGTTCGGAAATGGCAACAGAGTAGTCAAGATTATCATTAAGCATTAGACGATCATTTGCAAGCGTGTCGTGAATATATACCTACACTCTTAAAATACTTAGAAAATAATTCACATATGCCTTCTCCGGTGTCTGCTGACAGATCGTGTAAAAATACTGATTGAGGTATATTCGAATCATTTTGTTTTTTTGATTTTATATACTTCCAGAAACTTCTAGAATCAATGACGATTTCATTTTCGATATTATGTATATAGTTATCGTGATCCATTTGAATCAACCGTTTGGAATGTGTACGTAATTGAGAAAAAAGTTGATACAGATGTTGTCCTCTATATTTTTTAAATCTTTTGTGTACTTTATTTTTTTCATTTATAGTGTGTAAAGTATCCGTCATGAAGTGATTTGGAAATTTTCTTTTGAGTTTATATGTGGGTACATTTCTTTTTATCACATCATTGATTTTTGACATAATATTTCAACTACTGTATCCACGTTTTTCTCCATGAAACAATGAACCCAATTTATTTACCCGAATTCCAAATTCATTCTATTATGAGAAACTTTCTTGAAGTTCGATTGAATGCTTGATTTTTCAATCAAATATTTGAGTACTGTATCCACGTTTTTCTCCATGAAACAATGAACCTAATTTATTTACCCGAATTCCAAATTCATTCTATTATGAGAAACTTTCTTGAAGTTCGATTGAATGCTTGATTTTTCAATCAAATATTTGAGTTTATGAAATTCAAAATCAATATTTAGCGCTGAATGATATAAATATTCTCTGACCAAAGGATCAGAACAATGAGTAATACCTTTGATACATATTCTGTTACAAAATACAAGATCTAGGATCCTATCATTTGAATTGCATGAGTTCCAGAAAAATATCAATAATTTCAGAATATTTGGAGTCAACATTGCTCGCTTCAAAGTAATCCTCACGCAATACGGGATGACGTTGTAGGCACCCGGGTACTTTTATAGATTTTGCACACAATAAGATGAACTACAAGTTATTTATTGAAAAAAAATACATATAGAGAAACATGTAATGTAAATCAAACCTAAGAAATTACAAGATACATATAATGTAAATCGACCCTAAGCTAATTGTCCTGTTGGGTGTAGGTTTCACATATTGCTTTGCTCACAGAGTGTTCATTACAAACCGGTTTTCTGCATACGTGACACAGTTTTCTGGTTTTACGTTGTCTTTGACTGAATTGTCGACAGGCAGTGCAACTACCAACCACAGGAATCCGCCCAGAATCATCACGAGATGGCTCATCCCTGACAACTGGTTGGATTATGTGCGGACCAAGAACTATTTCCATTGAGCTGCGTACAAAAGGTTTCGCAACCACTTTGGAAATGGTAACGCGACTTCCTATAGCAGGAATACATAACTGCTTTGTAAGATCTTTCAGGAATTTCCGTCGCTTATCAGTTGATCTGAACCTTGGGTTGTGCTCCATATATATTATATATGCGCACAAGGCAGCAACATCAACCATATCGTGAAAGAATGCTAATGGCCAACGATTTTTTTTGCGTTTGACTGTATACTCCGTCAACAGCTTGTTCATCACATCTACGCCTCCTTTCGTTTGGTTGTAGTATTTGATAATGTTTCGCTGTGGCCGTTTGCTCTCCTTCGTCTGTCATATGCATTGATGATAAGAGGATTACTGATTTTTTTTGGCACATATGAACATACAGTTGATTCTTTTGTAAATGGAAAATTAGTTGAATGAATGGCTCTATCTTTAGACGCCTGCATATTAGGAGGCAAAAACGTTTTGTTTTTCCTTACGGTTCCCACTAACGTCAAATCCCACGACATAAAGTTATGAGCCAGTTGCAAACTTGTAAAGAAATTGTCTGTTGTGACATTTCTACCAGAACCTTTATAGGAAGCAACTAAATCTAGAACTGTACGCTACCCAACGTTTACTTGGCGTTCGCCGTCTGGTGACTTCCCACAGTAAAATTGACCATATTTTGCCGGTTTCGAAGGTATGTACTGGGTAAACTTTGTGTGTCCTCTAAAAGGAAACAATTGTTCATCAACTGTTATGCATTCATATGGCTTATAATTTTTTTCCAAGTTCCTGTTCAGCATTGTCCAAATATCGCCAATTGGAGCGAGTTTGTCTATTTTTGCACGTTCAGCAGTGTTTTGGTTATCAAATCGAATAAACCTTAGAAACATTTTGAACCGATCCCGACTCATAGCCTCACGAAAAAGAGGTTAGGAATCCATCTTACACATTTCAGTGATATGTTCCCTATTAGATTTATGCACACCAGCTGCAAGAAGGATTCCTTAAGATGCTTCAAATTCGTTGTCAGTAAAATGGCTTGAAAACCTTTGGTTATGGTCGTTCGGAAGCTTTGTACCTTTGAATTAGTTCAGCATTATAATTTTCAGTTTCTTTTCTACCTTTTCGATCAGATTCTCTTACAATTATGTTACACATCTCATTAGACATAATGATATTAAAAATTTCTTTAGCCGTCAACAAAGCACTGAAAGCTGCTGCTCCACCTTTTTGACGCAAGATATTACGACTAAGTGTTTGAGCTTGTGGATGTGGAGTATCACGCCACTGAGTACCATTTTTGCTTACAAAAACTACAGGTTGTGTGAGCGCTGGTTCCTCTTTAATACTTTCATCCGAATCATATTCTTCCTCTTGCTTAATCACAGGTTCATTTCCTACATCAGATTCCTCGCATTCTAAATCTGCTGGTTCTGGAATATAATCGTCCGTATCAGAAGCAACAAACGGTTCTTCATCAGATTCTTCTAGTGCTGCATGTAATTCAGCTTCAGTAAGCCTAGAAAAGACCAAATTACACTGCACACATTTATAAAACCAATTATGCACTCTTATTGTTTATAAAATTTGAAATTATTATCTCATACCGTCCAAAACATATTTTAGGAAATAAAACGGTAAATTTTCGTTATGTGGACAGCCGGCGATTTTGAAAAAATTTTTGACTGTACTTACGTATTTTGATGCGTAGATTACGAATCCGAAAGAAGAAAGCGGCGCTCTCCCTTATTTAAAAAGTTACGGCCCTTCAAAGTTCAGAAAAGGGCAACTTTTCAGCCTTCTTTTTCACTAAATAAACTATTTAAAAACACAAGCATTTATTCAGTAGGTCACCTTTACACCTTATTTCTCCTTCTTTAACACTTTTCACTTCAATAATCAACATTTTTCTTATAAAAAACTTAATTTAAAAACGAATGCTTCTCCTGGTGACATTATTCTTTTTTTAGGTTAGTTACTAGTGACATTTCAGAAAAAAGCGGTTGGTATTTGCCGTCGCCTACTATTTCAAATTCGTAATACACCACCAAAAACCAATTTACGATCTAAAGAATGAAGGTAAAAAACATTTGAATTACTTCAGGAATATGGACTGCATCAGTCGTACCAACCATATCATCAACCTTAAAAACGTAAAATACAGTGATATGTAACCAAAAAGCAGCTCCGTACATTTTTTAACATTTTTATAAGAAAAATGTTGATTATTGAAGTAAAAAGTGTTAAAGAAGGAGGAATAAGGTGTAAAGGTGACCTCGTGAATAAATGCTTGTGTTTTTAAATAGTTTATTTAGTGAAAAAGAAGGCTGAAAAGTTGCCCTTTTCTGAATTTTGAAGGGCCGTAACTTTTTAAATAAGGGAGAGCGCCGCTTTTTTCTTTCGGATTCGTAATCTACGCATCAAAATACGTAAGTACAGTCAAAAATTTTTTCAAAATCGCCGGGTGTCCACATAACGAAAATTTACCAATAAAACTCTTTCACACAAACACTCTCTCCCTCTCTTACACACACACATCTAGATATTTTTTTGTTGTTATTTCTTTTTATCTTTTACTTTATTATGCCAAATCCCATAAACAAAAAAAGTAAATATGTGTCTACATACCACGGCCTCTTCCACACTGGTTTTGAAATACACCGTTTACTTGGACCAGCTTCACTCACCAGCTCACTCAGCCATATTTTTATAAAACTAAAAGTTCTGACACTCAATATGAATTTCAAATCAACTAACGATTTGAAGACGGGTCTGTCGTGTAGTCTCGTGTGCTGCGCAGCGTTGTAAGATACTACTCAGAGAAGTTTCAACTTGCAAATGTACGCTGATACCGAGTTGATGACGAGTGGCGTACGTAAAAATAAAAAAATATGGAATACTTGATATTTGTCGTTGAAAAGTTCAGTAGAGAACACATAGTCATTCAACCATGTTTCTGTGAGACATATCATGTCATAGTTACTGGATAAAATATTCATTTGCCTAGGACCAATGTCCTCTACAATTCTGATAATAAATATACAGTGTATAAGCCATTCTTGCTACAAAATAAGTTGATGATGTAACAACGAGTATATATTAATTTATATTTTCTAAAGCATGTCATGATTTTGAATGTGTAGAATAGGTGAATTTTCGGATTATCTCATGAAAATGCTTCCATTTTTTTATCCAGACAAACTTATAATTTTTTTGCTTGGCAATTTGCCTAGTTTTTTTATGCAAAATTTTGTTCACAAGTGTAAGATGTTCATTGACATAAATTTTATCAGAAATGCCAACCACTTCCAAGGCTATATTATTTGATCCAGCATCCATTTTGTTAGCTTTTACTGAAGTTAGTAAAGCACCGCGGTACTTGCGACTAGAAAAAGTAACAATTATATTTTTTGGTTTGTCTCTAGGGGAACATTTTTTGTTAGTTGGAACACGATGAATACAATCAATCATATTCTCATCAATCAAAAATTTTACGTGGTCCCCAATTTTATTCAAAATTTGAACTGAGTTCTCATTATCTCTTTCCGGAATCCCATGTATTTCTAAATTCTTGATTCGACTTGCTTGATCGAACCCATTGAATAATTTAACGGTTGATGAATCAACTTTTTCTTTCAGTTGAACGTTTTCGGCGATAGCTCTATTGACAATTTTCATGTGCTCTCTCATTTTAGACATTTCAGTTTGAAAATCCGTTATCTCATCACTGCAAAAGGCAACAAACTCCCTGAACAATCGCATCTCTTCTCTCATTTGCTGAAGTATATCGAATATTTCGTTTAAGGTAACCTGAGTGCTTCGCGGCACACCTTGAGAGAGAAGAGACTGTCGTTGGGTAGGGTTTACACCAAAGTTCTGCGAGGCACGGCGATTATAGTCTAGGATCCCGCTGCAAAATCACTACGTTCATAGCGTAGTTCCAAACTCAGATTTTTACATACATTTCTGAATAAGAGAATACAATAATGACAGGGTGCCAGTCAAAAAGTGGCCGCAAATATTTTTCATTAAAAAAAGCGAGTTTGCCTTAGGCTACACGACTGCTTCACAGATGAACTATTTTCTGTAACTCAATACGACGAAAGTATAAAATATACGTTTTGTCGATCTTGCAATGTGAAATTCAAAACTACAAAGGTTTGATATAATTCATTCTTCAAAAATTGATAAATCTGAGTCGATAACATTTTCTCCCTCCATTCTAACCTACCCAGAAAAATTATTCAACAAATTCGAGAGCCGATCTAAAAAAGAAAACAAATTGATCAAAATCTATATTGAATGAAGTTTCGGATGACGATCTTACTTCGGTAATCCGTATTTCGACTTCATACAACATTTTGAGATTTCATATCTCTGAAACTCAAACTAATGCCAGTTAGCACATGTAAATTTGAAATAACCTTGTTGAGCAAAATGTTAACATTCTGGGTATTTTGTCAAAATGAAGTGAAACTGAATTGATTGAGGTACTTAATCCCGTATACATTCTGAATCATAATTATTTGGGAAATAATATACTTTTTTCAATTTCAGATATTCAAGAGTTTTATGAACTGACTCTTCTTGATGAAAACAAATCGGTACAAGAAAAAACCGCTGAGACAATACGTATCGCGAATAAATGGGAAGCGAACGATGGTCCCATAATCCCCCCCTACAACACCGATGAGGTAAGTTTTTCATGTTGCATCAAACATCAGTGTGTACAATAGAGTTGTGAAAAACATAGTTTTTTGAACTTTGAGAAATTGCTTTGAACATTTCAGTTTTACAGGCACCTGGGTACAATAATAAAAAACCCTCTTCGTTATTGTGTAATGGATTTGTCAGAATTATTTCCTATTGTTGGTCATCCGTCGCTATCAAACATAAATCCATTATTATTTCAGTTATGTGTAAAATATGTTCCATTACTTGATAGAAATATGTATGTAAACGAGATGTATGTAAACGACAGAGAATATAATTCAAAGAGAAAATACATGTAATCGTTTTGAAAAAAAAAGATATTGCAATTATTTGAAGAAAATATTCAATTCAATTTCATGAGTATCATGAAACACAATTAAACGTTAACTCTTTGATTAAATATTGACGAAACTCATGACACATATTCATTTTGTGGACGTGATATAAATACATCAATCTGTTTCGGATTAGAGTAGAAACTGATACTATCGTATTTTATCCATGCGGCAATTGAATTATTTCAGGCTTTATCTATGCAACGCACAATAAAAAAGTATGAAGATGGCCGCGGCTACAAAATGGTGGTTCACATATTTTTTCACAACTACCAAAATATGTGTATTAAATGGCAGGGATTCACTAGTAGAATAGCAGTTAATTTTGAAAAAGATACAAATGCAAGATGGCCGCACCTACAAAATGTAGCGAACTACATTTTTTTTTCACAACTACTCCAATTAGGATATCAAATGACAGGGCTTGACTAGTAGAATAGCACTGCACTTTGAAAAAGATGCAAATTCAAGATGGCCGCAGCTACAAAATGACGGTTCACATATTTTTTCACAACTACCTCAAAATGGGTATCAAATGACAGGGCTTGAGTATTAGAATAGTAGTTTACTTCGAAAAAGATGCAAATGCAAAATGGCCGCAGCTACAAAATGGTGAATTACGTCTTTTTTTCACAACCATCTCAGTATGGGTATCAAATGACAGGGCTTGACTGATAGAATAGTAGTCATAATCATATATCGAAAGTTGTATGATTGGAGAACTTCAGATCCAGTAATCTTTCGCTTTAGTATGAAAACACAACAGACGAATTTAGATGTAAGGAGTGAACTCTCAACAGCAGATCTGTATAATTTACTTCTCAATGCCAATGAAAAGCAAACAGAAGATCTAAAGGCTGAAATCCAGAAAAATGCTGAATCGTTCACATACGAAGTGGAGTAGTTATCTTTGAAAGTAGAGAAGTTGACATTGAACACTATGTATTTGGAAAGAAGAACAAGAAAAAATAACATCTTTGTCTTTGGAGTGAGAGACTCGCCTGTAGGAAATGAGTTAGAAAAAACTTTGGAGATACTGAACACTGCACTTGATTCTAACATAAAAGACGAAGATCTCAATAATTTGTATAGATTAGGGACACAGAGTGACTCCCCTATCGTCATTGAGTTCATATCATTCTCGAAGAAATACACTCTATTCCAACACAAGGATAAGCGGAAGCAACTGCAATCTAAAGGTATAGCCATTGTTAACGATCAGTGTTTAGAAGACCGACAGAACCAAAAGCTGTTAAGAACTCATTTGAAAAACGCAAGATTCCAAAACTTCCATTTAACTTTATTTTCAATTTGTTCTTGTTTTTGAATTAGACATGTACGGAACAGACATGCATATATCAAGAAGTTGCAATATAAATAGTTTCGAAAATAAAATTGTAATTTGGCATATAAAAATCAGATTTCTGAATACGGGGTTCGATGAATTTGTTCATTATGTGGTTAAGTATGATATTGACATTTTTACAGTAAGCGAAACTTGGCTACTTCCTGATAATTCAGATGAAAGATATAATATAGCAGGGTATGTACTCAAGAGACAAGATTGTACATATGGTAGAGGACGAGGTGTGGCTCTATACATCAAAACGGGAATAAAATTTGTTGAATTTGCTCATGATCTAGGGTTTGATATTGAAGTGAAATGCATAACCCTTACATTGAATGAACGAAAAACTCTTCTTCGTGTAATATATAAATCACCAACCGACAGTCAATTTCAATCTTGATTCGATCATTTTTTATCTCAGTTTACTCCATTACTAGTTTTGAGGAATATAAATATAAACTTGCTTGGTGGGTCTCCGATGAAAAATGAACAATAGTTTGTTTGTAATAACAAATTGTGAATGTTTACGATATTAAGCAGATTGTAAATATTCCTACCAGAGTGAATGATAGTTGTAGCACCCTGATAGATCTAATAATTACAACTTCTAATACTAATATTACTTTCGAAGGGTGTGTAGACTTATCAAACCTGTCTAAACATTGTATGATATTAGCTACACTTGAAGTCCTGAACCTAAAAAACAACAAAATTTATCATATATCGAAATTATAAAAATATTGATACTGCCTGCTTCAACAGGGATTGTCAGAATTTGAGTTGGAATGGCATCCTTAAACTCTGCAATGTCAATGTTAATTGGAGGTATTCAATAGGCTAGTTCTAGGCCTGGCTAACAGGTATGCTCCCCTGAAAAAGCAACATATTAATGAGAAACCCTATACGCCCTGGATAACTGATGTTATAAAAATCATGATAAATCATCGGGACAAAACGTAAGTATCTTGAAAATAAAACACTAACTAACCTCGAATCTTATAAACAGCTTAGGAACTACACTAATCAATCAATCAGAAAAGAGAAAGAGGCATATTTTAGATATATTTCCTTATCTCACAATCAGAAAATATTCTGGCAAGCGGCAAATAACCTGAACTTTACCAAAAACGAACATTCTACCATTACTGAGCAGTTTCTAGACGTTGAGAGTTTGAATAGTTATTTTATAAATAGCTCTAGTAATTCTAGTTTACCAGATTCAAATATGATTTACTACTATAACACCCATGAACATTCAAATGTACCTGATGCATATTTCACCTTCAGGGGCATTGAAATTTTTGAGATATGCAAAATTATGAATAATATAAAAACCAACGCTGAAGGTTGTGATGGTATATCCTTAAAAATTTTGAAGCTTTGTACTCCTTATTGTTTAGATGCCTTGAAGGATACAATAAACTGCTCTATTGATTCTTGTGAATATCCTGTATTGTGGAAGAAATCTATAATTTTACCAGTAGCAATAACAGCTGCACCAACAGATGCCTATCAGAATCCTTCCTGAAATCTCGAAAATCATCGAAGGTCACGTTCACACTCAAATCACTAACTATTTGAAAGCAAATACTTTACTCAACTTGAAACAATCTGGGTTCAAAACAAAATACAGTACAAGTACTGCACTTATCAATATCATAGATTGAAAACCAAAAAATTAATTCTCTGGTACTTTTGGATTTTTCAAAAGCCTTTGACACTATCAGTTACCCCGTATTGTTATCAAAGCTCCAATACCTAGGTATATCCTCTGGTAGTGTAACCTAGGTGAGAAGTTACTTCGATTCTCGATCACAGTCTGTATCTGTAATGAAAAATGAATGTATAGTTAGATCCTCTATGAAAACCATTGAACGAGAAGTTCCACAAAAATCTATTTTGGGGCCCATTTTTCTCAATTTATATTTTTGACATTGATTGTAGTACCCATCATTGCGAGTTGAATCAATACGCTGATATTTCTCAGATAGCTTTTCAATATCCACCCAAATATTATAGAACTGCAGAAAATAACATAAACGGAGACCTAGATACGATTGAAATATATTCTGACTCCCACTGCTTGAAAATTAATCCAAGTAAATCCTAAGTTTTGTTCATTGGCACTTCAAGCGCACTTTCGTATTTAGACTAAACAAATTTGCAAATAAAATTATCGAATGATATAATTAATCCAGTGAACGAAGTCAACAATTCAGGCGTTTATTTGGATAGCTCCCTAACTTTCTCCAAACACATTTCCCAAAAACGAAAAATCACTTTTATGAACTGAA